ATCCTACTCAACGTCACACAACTGACATATTCAACATGAAGTTACAGGACTGGCTTGAACCTCAGTTTGTCAGCAAATCACATCATGTATACTGGCAAAGAGCTGACCTTAAGTATTTGGACAGGGGCAGAAGAAGTCCTCATACCTGAATGACAAAATTGATGGTTGGTCATCACATCTGTTGTAAAACTGTTTTCTAATCAGTCACCTTTCAGGTTAAGGTCTGGTTCAGAGAGGGCAGGACCACTGGTTGGAAAACATCTCCAAACAATGGTTTCCAATGTGGGAGTCAAACTTTGTACACCCAACCAGGCACCCTGACCTTTCGCAAGAGGGCAGTCCTTACAACCACAAGAGGTCGCTTGACAAGAAAATGTAGGCTACAGTTGTTTAAGCACTGTTATCGTAATTTTGATTGTATTAGCTGTGTACTCCAGCACTTTGGATTTAAATGAAAACAAGGACAATGATGTTGAAATGAAATTCTGACTGTCAGATTTTATTTGAGGGTTTTAACATTCATGCTGACTGAATGGTTTAGGAATTACTTACACTTTTGTTATATTTGTTATATTCATCCTTCACTATCAATAAATGGTGGGATTATGTTCAGTATATACATAGAGCTCATACATATAAATATTGGCTGATTGCAGATATATTTCTGGCAGAGTATTTGTTGCTTGTTAAGTAACAAAAAATGACAGTGCAGAAGATAAGTTTGAGGAAGTTTAGATACTGATAGCGCTGCGTAACTGACCACCAAAGAGCACTGACAAGTTTATTTTTTTTAACTGTGCATAGCTTGATATCTGTTCTTACCAAACAAGAGTTCAAACAGAGTTCAAACAGTATTGGTCAGAATATAAAATAAAATCATATGATTCCTCCAATGAACATGAGAAATGTGGACACAGTATAAATACCACAAATCCCTCTTAAAGCCAGCACTTTAACCTGCTTGTGTCATTTTAAATCCAATGAACTGGAGTAAAGAGCAGAGTTAAAAATGTTTTAAAAAGTACAATGTCCAATACGTCAAGGTTGATCTGTGTGTCTGCTCAGTGATGTCAGTCAAACTGCCCTTTAAGATGTCTTTAGTACGTCAGGAGGAAAATGCATCTGCTGGAACTGCTGCTGAATTTCAACCTGCTTCTCAAACAGTAACAGAGATGGTTTGAAGTGAACATCAATCCATGCTCACACAGTACAGCAGTACATCTTCTACTAGCATGATATCAAGATTCTGTTTTCTTTTGCTGTACCCTCCGTTAAAACTGAAAACTTTAAGTGTAGAGTACGAGAGAGGCAGGATGTAAACAGAAAGAGAAAGAAGCTGAGAGGGAAAACAGTGAGGTGAGAAGATGGGAGGAAGGCTGGGCAAGAGACACAGAGACGTAAAGCAAGAGGTAAACAGAAAGACTCCGCAGAGACGAGTAGAAAAGTAGAGGGAAATACACATTCGTCATTTAATACTTCAACAACCGTCAGAAACAGTAGCACGCACACACACACACACACACACACACACACACACACACACACACACACACACACACACACACACACACAGCCAGTGGAACATCTGACTATGCCAATACTGGGCTGTTATTATAGTACATGGAGACAGAGAGCGAGGGAGAGGGAGAGAGAGAGAAGAGACATAAAAAGTGGGACAGAGGTGTGAAAAATGAGAAAGTGAAAAATAAAAGGAGGATGGATTTCAAAAAGGAGCAACTAATCATGGGCATGTGTGAGGGTCTAGAAAAGGTAGTTCAGTGATGGATTGCAGAAGGTGGAAAGAGAGAAAATAGAGACAGATGTATATAAATAACAGGCTAAGACAGAGAGAGGTAAGAAGAGATTTACTGAAAAAGGTAAAGTTGAGGAGAAAAATGAAAAAGCAACATATAAAAACTGAACCAGATCCTGTGTTATTAAGTTTTGGTATTTCCTATTTAGGAAGACAGAACAACTCCGCTGCTACAGCTTAATCACATCCAAAAAATGTATTCTTATCTCGTGGAAACAAGGTAATTCTTGCAGACAAACTGTGCCTTAATGAGCTGATCAATACCCAACAACTTGAAAGACAAAGGTTCTTGTAAAGAGCTGGAGTTGCACTGTTCATCAAGATTTCAGAGCCTCTTACTAACAATACCCTAAATGGCATTACATTATGGAAATGATGCCTGTTTTTCCAGTAAGTATAGGTTTCTCCCAGAATATCAGTCAGTGAAGGTGGAAAGAATTACCTTCTGAGTTATTCCTCACACACCCCCTGTTGAGTGTGTGACATTTAACTACTAAAAACAACTGAGGTTTTCTTGTTTTCTTCCCCAGGCTCTGCAACATATTGCTCTGATTACAAACATAAAATGTGTAGACCTGATCAATCACTGTCACCCGCTGAGTCTGACAGATTCTGACTCATCTGCTCTAATGAATTTAGTCACTAGACAGGAGCCTCACTCATTTCATATGTGGCCTATGATGCATGACACAGTGTCTGCTCTTTTCTCCCTCAGGATTAAGGTTTCATTTTTTCATTTTCTTTTATTAAAAAACTAAAAAGTTCCACCTTTCAAGTTTTCAGTCTTGCCACTGTATCTCATTTAATTCTTTCTTGTGTTTGTTTAATCTGCTGAAATCTTTCCTTTGCTGACCAGTTGTAAATCCAGTGTTTTTTTTCTCAGGACTGGAGTGAAAACTATCAATAGAGAGAGATTTAACCAAAAGTGCACCGTAAGAGTGGCTGCAGTGTTCAACAAACACGACTGCTCAGATCACTGAATTGTCTTTACTCCAAAATACACAAGGGATTGGCTTACTGTATGATAATAAATCTCTGGAGGGCAAGAGGAGCCATGGGAATGCAACAGAAGAGAGCACCATCAACCTCCCAACATGAGACAAGTACTGCCACTCATCCTCTACCCTCCTGGGGGGGGAGGGGGATACATCTCCAAGCCAGGTGAGTCTCCATTAGCAACACAGCCAGCCACTATAAATTTGTACACCAAGACAAATAGATAAAGGCAGAGTAAATTAGCACCCTACACAAAGGGAAGATGGCAAGTTCGATTCACACCCTCTCTTAAAAACAGTCTTGTTTTTTCCCCACAATGAGCCCTCAACCTCCTTGTAAAGTCTAATCAAAAACAGAAATAATGTAAATGAAAAAGTAACGGCAAAAAACTACATCCACTTAACACACAGTGCAGCTCACAGCGAAAGCCGTGCTCTGCTAAGTCAGCATATGAAACATGAAACTTATCAAAACAAAATGTAGAAACTGCATCTTTTTCCTTTGATATTTTCAGGAAAACAGCGGAGGAGGATCCAAAAATAGCGAGCTCGAGTTTTCTAAATCTTAGAAACAATAAACTGGACGAGAGCAACAACACACCCACACTCAGAAAAGGCTGGAAAAATTCATTATGTTTTCATTGGACAGGAAGAGGTGGGGAGACAAACACACACATGCAATATAAAATACATATGCAGAGTTACAGTGTACTGGACTTGTGCATTAAAATTATATATGTATGCCTGTGCTGTACACATACAGCACTAGTCAAACGTTGGGACACACTTTCCCATTCACTTGATTGGGATGGGAAAGTGTGTCTGTATGTATGTTATGTGAATCTAATCAAATCTAGTGGCAGTGAATGAATGGTATAGAGACAATGGGAAACAGAGACGACAGTATAGTAAAAAAAAAAAACAACAACAAAAAAACAAACAGAAGAGCGACAAACAAGTAGAGATACGCGTGCTAACAAGAAGCACTGCCAAGGCCATTCTGCCTGAGTGAGGAAGAGTCTGTGTGTGTGTGTGTGTGTGTGTGTGTGTGTGTGTGTGTGTGTGTGTGTGTGGTGCTGACATTTAGAGGCAGGGTAAGTGTGTAGGCGTGGGGTTACACGGTGAAAAGGCCACACTGTGTAACCCTACAGTGGGAGGCCATGATTGACATCTGTGTGGGGTTGTGTGTGGGTGGATGCGTGTGTGTGTGTGTGTGTGTGCGTGTGTGTGTGTGTGTGTGTAGCAGTAGTAACACTGGAGAACAATCAGTTCAAATCAAAACAACAAACAAAATTGTAGAATCAGAACAACCAAAACAGCTGCTGTTTTGTTGCTTGTTTGCAAATGAAGCCACCCTAAAAACTTAACTGGAGACCTTTAAGCGAAGCACCAGGACTCCTTCTGTAACTCAAAACACGTCCAATCACCCCGTTCAAGGACATTTTAACGGGTTTGTCCGGTTCACCCTTTCCATACCAAAAACATGTATCAGACACAGACTGCACTGCCGTGACAGAAAAAGTTTGGGAACCACTGCTACTAAACAATTAAAAACTCTTGACACAAGGCATGAGGATCAGGCAAGGATATACAGTTTAGAGTGGACATGTCCAAGCCTCTTAATACCTTTGGATTAAATAAAAAAAAATACAGTTTGACTGTCAAAATAAAAGTTTAAAGACAGGCTTACTTGGATGTGAGAGACTGGCTGGTAGGAGGCATCAGCACAGACGCCTGCACACAAACTGAAGAGGTTTTTCATCACTGACACCTTCTCTGCTCGATTGGTGACATTGCTGAAAGCTTCTCATTCATACACACACACACTCATCAAATACACACATACACCCTTAACCTACATGTAAACTGGAGGATAAGCAGAACACACTCACAAACGCACAATTATGGAGCTGCATGTATCTCACAGACTTGAGTTTCTACATAGTAGGACAAGTACACAAATGTGCACACACACACAGTCTGTCAGCCACTGGCACATTCACAGCCCCTGCTTCTGCCACTTGTCGCCGCAGGGGAGACCCTGTAGCACTGACACAGCTGAGGGTCGTCAGCTCGTTACAGGCCACCGAGTGAGTCTCAGTCAGCTGCCTACAACTCCTTCTCCATCATCCGACGCACTGAACGCTCAGTGTGTGTGTGTGTGTGTGTGTGTGTGTGTGTGTGTATCCTACCTTGTCGCTGTCTACAGTGTTCTGGGACGTCCTGGAAGCGATGGAGATGGTGTCTGGTTGGCTGCTGCCATCTCCCTGACTGTCTCCGTCTTCACCCCCCTCCCTGAATACAAACAGACACACAATTAGAATGAATGTCTAACTTTAAATCACTGGAACACTTCTACCTGTTGTGACAACACTGATGTCGTTACGCTTGGTGATGATCGCTGGGACAATACCAATCAACTCTGACAACATTGGTGTAAAACTTAGAAAGGTTTCATTCTGCTGTGATGACACTTTTTTCCCCATGGTGAGAAGGTTCCTGCCCGCACTGCCAATGTTTACGATGATGACATTTCTAACAGTGGAGGCAGGAAAAAGTCAAGTCCTAAATCTCCTTATTGCGCAAGCATCTGAGGAATGATTGTTCAAATACCAGGATTCACTCAGTCAGTGAGGGTTAGCTGGAGTGGAAAATCCTGCACCTCTGCAGAGCAGGTGCAAATAGCAGAGCTGTGTTTAAAAGAGAGCAGCGTTTGGGAAGAGCAACCTATTGACAGCAGACAGAGTGGGTTCACATTTCTACGGATTAGCAGTGAATTAGTTACAATAACACTCAAAATATTATCATTTATAACAGTAAACAAAAGTGGGTAGGTAGGTTTTCAATCTCCCAATCTCTTCCACATGTCCTCTGAAGGTTTGTTTAATGACTCCTGTTGCAGTAATAATACTGGCAGGGCCACACATGATGCAAAATAATTTTCTCAGTTGTAGCCTAAGCAAGTGTTTCTGAACTGAGATCACTGCATTATTTTTTTTTCTAAACTTGGTAATCTTAGACAAATCCCACCATTGAACTGACCTGAGTCCTGCTTCAGGACTGCATGCTGAGACAGACATTTCTCTGCCTTCACTCAAGATGGTTCAACTCTCAGAAAATGTCTCTCCTTTAATGAGTTTTCATGAATGATGTTTCTATCCTCAGTGCTGTTTGTCACCTCAGTCATGATATTTCTACTTCTGAGAAAACATCTTTCTACCCATGGTGACTACTCTTCTGTCGTCTGTGTGTGTGTGTGTGTGTGTGTGTGTTGGTGTGTCCTTGTTTACCTCTTAGTGTTATTCCTGGGTTTGGTCAGTGCTGGTGTTTTAGGCAGATGAAGAGGCTCCTTGAGAGCCCCCTTCAGGTGAGTCATCCTCTCTTGGATCACCTCCCTGATGTTTTTAATCCACTCCTGTTTAGCTTCCATACTGGACGCCTGGAGGACAAACAACAATATAATTATTAAAAACATAACTCTTTATATCTAATCAGAGGACAGGAAACATAGTTCATTTACATGTAATTTTCACTTACTTTTAGCACAGTTTTATTATCAGAGGAAGGAGTCCTTCCTGCCCACAGAGCAAATTTACACGGGTCACCCTCAATGTGCTCAGTCACCCCCAACTCTGATGTCTGCAGCACAGCAAGGAGGGAAGAATGTGTCAGAAATGTGAGTCAGTGACAGTTCACCATCTGTAGCTTATGCACATACAACTACACACACACACACACACACACCCACCAGTAGTCTGTTCTTGTACTGGTACTTAGTTCTGCCAGCTGAGTCTTTGATCTCCTTGCTGAAGACCAGGGAGAACTCAAACAGGAAGAGGTGTCGGTCCCTCCCCTTCCTGATCAGCGAGCGTGGATCCCAAACCTGGAAACTGTCCTGCAGGATCAGCTCACCTTGCACCTCCAGGTTCTCCTCAAAGCCTGAGGAAGAGGAGGACTAAGAGTTCATATCAAGCAAGCTGCCCAAACTCTGAAAACACGGCCAGCGTGTTGGAATTAGGTGGAATAGGAAATAGAACAAACTATGGTGAGTCTTGGAAAAAACATCAGCAGTAAAGTAATGAAGGGATTAAAAGAGTGGAATCAGTTAAAAAGCACTAAACACACTTATTTATGAATTTGAAAAACAAAACAAAACCTTGTCCAGACAGAGAATAGAAATTCAGGAGCAAACCTGACCTCTTATGTTTATTATGTTTTTATTATACATTTTAGTCTCTTTCCAGTTTGGACAGTCTCTTACCCTCCAACATGGCAAGATGCATGGCATCATTAGCTCTCTTAGGAACACCGAGCATCACCTCCAAACCATCTTTAATCTCCCCTTTACCCTCCTCACAGCAAGATAGTAACTCCTGCAGGACGACAGGATATTGAATGAGGCAATAGCAGAGTGGAAAAGCAGAAAAACATGTGCATGTGTGTGTGCTGTGTGTTTGTGTGTCTACCTTAAGCAGTAGTTGGTACTTGGTGATCCTCTGGACAGGTTTGATGAGGTAGGAGGAGATGGAGTTAGCCAGTCCACGTCTCTGCTGAATGTCCTGTTCACACACACACAGACAAAATTACAGCAAACACCAAAATAAAATAAAAATACCTGAAACTGGCATAAATGTCAAGTATTCAATTCAGCTGCTGCTGCTGCTGCTGGGAGCTTTTCAATGATCAAACAGCACCGTCTGCTGACAAGACTGGTGAACTGCACGATCATCACACTCTCCAGCTGCGGGAGAGGAAGCCGACACACCCCTTCTCCTCTAACAAATCTAAGTAGTCTGCTTGACAAAGTGCCCACAGCAGCGCTACGTTTAAACGACACACTGGAGTCCTGTTTTTATGCTCCACAGTCAGCATCCCTCACAACAAACTCCCTGCACTGAGCCCTTGTTGTTGTTGGGTTTACCACTGTGTTTTGGGCTGAGGCAACACTTTGATCATAATATACTACTGGTTCAGCCATTAGAGAGGACATCTGTTTGTTTGCTTGAAACATGTGCAGGAGCAGAAAGATGAGTGGCTACATGAGATATTTCTATTTAGAATAAGCTGTTTTTGATTATTAGATTAAATAAAAGGTTTTATTGTTGGTTATATTGTTTATATGATGACATGATGTGAATGGATCTGTGACAGAATACTGAAGGCTTTACTCACATCAAAGAAGGTGCCAGCATGCTCCAGTATGAGCTGACTCGAGTCTGGTTTGTTCTTACAGTAATCCACATAAATGTGGAACTTATCAGCCTGGAAAACAGGAGAGGACAAAATTGTATTTTTCCAGTGACAACCATTATATCATGTACAATTCACCCACCCAAACCACCCCATAATTAAGACAGAGGTCAGAGGTCAAATGGTTGAAATCAAGGGTCAGAAGTCTCTGCCTTTTCATTCTGACACCATCTGGAATAAAGGACTGACTCTCACCCAGGTGACAAAGCAGTGACCAACATCTTCTGGAAGCTGTTCATAGTTCACCAGCTCCTTCAGGAAAATACTGCAAACACACAAACAAACAGAAAACAACAGCTCACAATGTGCACATGCACTTGTGTTTTTTATACAGATCAGCCGTTTCTCAGGACCTCTGACTGTGTCGTACCAAGTTCTTTGACCTGTCTTTCCACAAAATTTAGCAGGAAGCTAGTGAAATAAAAATAACATGTCTGAAACCCATAAACACCAAAGGTTTATTCAAAAGGTAAGTTGGAGGTTCCTTTAAGATCTAATGCAGTAGAAAAGAAAAAGAAAATGTTCCCTAGAGGAACCAACACAGATTTCCGGAGGTACCACTAGGAGATCAGAAACAAAGGAGCTCCTCAGGGAAACCTTTGGAGTTCATGAACTGTCGATGAAGGAAAACCTCAAAGACACTCCTTCAGCTCCCCTGTAGCTACAAAATGAGAAAAAAACCCCAGAAAGGTCCCCTTGGGGGTTTTGTAAGCGGGGGGAGTTCTCACACAGTTAAAAGCATTTCCACTGCAGAAAAGTTACTGACAAATGTGCAAGATTGATCTGCAATGATGTTGGCAAGTCTTCTTTTCTCTTCTTTTCTCTTCTTTTTGTCAATTTACCATTTGCTTATATGCTATTACTGCTTAAAAACAAAGTATGTCAAACGCCATGGTTGTTGCTATGCCATGTGCTTGTTGCTGGGAAAATCCTCCATCTGATTTCTAAATTCTTCTGTCAAATGATTCTCCTTTAAAACTTATTTGACAAAATGTTCAATTCTAAAATTGGTCGAAACATGGATCAGTGCGAGCGAAGACTGGCTGATTCCTCTTCCCAGCACAGACACAATCTGTGTGTCTCTCACTTGTTGTGGAAGTCGTAGATCTCCTGCATGTTGCCGAAGATAATGTGCTCTTTGTTTGCGATGCCTGGAGGAATCTCCTCCACGCCGCTGGTCATCTCCCACAGGTAGGTCTGACAGACAGGCAGGCACAGAGAAAGACGAGTAAGTCAGACAGACAGGAAAATACTTTAAACTACACAAGCAGAAGGTTTTTTCTTACCTCTAGACACTCATGGAGATCCCTGACATAGGTCTTCTCAGTCTGCAGTAGCTCCGCCATGATGAACCTGAGACAAGGAAATAGTTTAGATTAAGGGAAGCACCGCAGAGAACGATCAGATGGCATGAATTATATAATTGGTACAATTTTGTATCTGATTGTTCCATGACTGCATGAGCCTACTGATGTTTCTCCAAGACTTTAAGACCTAAAAAACAATTCATGACAAGACAAAGGCATTTGAGAAGGCTGCGGAGGAGATTAAGACACTGTAAACTGTGCTATTATCACAATTAAGTGCCTTTGAAGTCTTAAAATTTGGAACCTCTGGGAACGCTACGGGACGCAGATGATCGCCATTATCGGGACAGATTGAGGAAACACTGTCTTGGGAGTGGATAGGAATGAATTCGGTTGATTAAGGTGAGTCACTGCAGCGATATTATAACTCTGTTATCATCAGACAGTTATCTTTATGCTTCATGTGTTTCAGGTCTGGGTCATGATGCTTCTGCTGGTCTGGTGTTTTACAAATAAAACCTCCATGGAAACAAACCCTGCCTTTACTCTACAATACCAATACATACAGACTCCTCTCTCTCTCTCCTCCCCTTCATTCCTGTACTCACTCTTTCTTCCTTGCAGACTTCCTCTTCTCCTCGTTGACCTCGTGGTTTGGGTCACGAAGTTTTACCTCGGGGTCGTCCGTCAGGCTGGCGGGGATAATGTCCAGCTCCAGATCTTTGTTGTCCTGCACAGAGAAACATAAATGGATTTTTGTCAATAATTTGAAACAAAAGTTGCTAAAACTTCAGCTCTGTCTGCGACTGCATTGGAGTTCATGAGTATTCATTCAGAATGAATCAGCGGTGTCTGAGATATTAAGCATGTGAGATGGAGCAAACCACAGGCCAATACCTGATCTCAATACAAAAAGAGAGGGAGAGTATGTGTGTGTGTGTGTGTATTCACCTCAGAGCTGACCCCCAGGCTCCTTTCTAGGCTCTCCTGGTATTTGGCCATGCGTAGGGAGAAGTCACGGTACCTGCGGTCCACCGTGCTCACCCATCGCTTCAGCTCCGACACGTGGGCGTGGCCTTTCTCCACCAGGTTGTCCGCTAACTGGATCAGCAGCTTCACCTTCTCCTTGGTTTGCTATGGGATGTTCACACAGAGATTACACGGATGGAGATGGGACTTATCTTCTTGGCTCCTGTATTATTGATTTTTCAGTACTTTCTCTCTTTTTTCAGTTTTTATAACTTTTGCTGTTGGTCCCCAATTCCTTTGTGAACTCTGCAGCGTCATGACTCAAAGAAAATAAATATTTGATTGGTATTTGATTTTTCTGTTTTGTACTTATTTCAGTGTCAGACCATCTGTACACCTGCCATTTAACTAAATGTTCTGAGAGTACTGCAGCTCCTTTAGGCACAATAAAGCTGTCAGTAGCTGAGCTTTACACACGCGCACACACACACGCGTGCATGCACACACACACAGTGTACCTTGGCAGTGAGTCTGAAATGATGGTAGTTGCTGAGGAGCTCTTGTGTTTCCTCACTGCTGTCGCCAGGTGATGTGTGGGTTGCCAGGTACACCTCACCTGTCTCCTGGATCCAATCAAGTGCCTGCACACACATGCACACACACACAACAGGTAAAGTTGATCCTCAATCCCTGTATTGCATTTACCCATATAAACTCACTCCCTGATAAAATAAACCAGATGTCTCTTCAGTGCTGCATATTTCCCCAAAGCAAAAATCCAGCCAATACTCTCTTCTTCTTTTTTTTCATTAATTCACACACACACACACACACACACACACACACACACACACACACACACACACACACACACACACACACA